CGAAGCGGCCAAGGTCCGCAAGGTCGCGGGCTACTCGCTCGACAGCGACGAGCCGCCGAGCGTCAACCCGCTCACGGGTAACCTCTACAGCGCCAAGTTCAAGACCATCTACGCCAAGCGCCGGACGCTGCCCGTGTACCAGTTCCTCCACGACATCCAGGACAAGGTCCGCGCCAACCAGGTGCTCGTCGTCGAAGGCGAGACGGGCTCGGGCAAGACGACGCAGATCCCGCAGTTCCTCGTCCAGGCCGGCTACACTGACAGCGGCAAGATCGTGGCGTGCACGCAGCCGCGCCGAGTCGCCGCCATGAGCATTGCCAAGCGCGTCTCGGAAGAGATGGACGTCGTCCTCGGCCAGCAGGTCGGCTACACGATCCGTTTCGAGGACATGACGACCGACAAGACGCTCTTGCGCTTCATGACGGATGGTATGCTTCTCCAGCACGCGATGAACGACCCGCTCCTCTCCAAGTACTCGGTCGTCATCCTCGATGAAGCCCACGACCGGACGCTCTCGACGGATATCCTCATGGGCCTCCTCAAGGAGATCCTCCCCAAGCGACCGGACCTCAAGGTCGTCGTCATGAGTGCGACCTTGGATGCCGAGAAGTTCCAGACGTACTTTGACGGCGCGCCGCTCGTGCGCGTGCCGGGTCGCATGCACCCCGTCGAAGTCTTTTACACGCCCGAGCCGCAGCGCGACTACGTCGAGGCGGCCGTGCGCACGGCGGTGCAGATCCACCTCTGCGAGCCCGAGGGCGACATCCTCCTCTTCCTGACCGGTCAAGAAGAGATCGACACGGCTGTGAGACAGATCCAGGCCGAGTGCTGCGCGCTCGACCAAAAGAAGGTCGGACCCGTCGACGTCTGGCCGCTCTACTCGACGCTGCCGCCGGCGCAACAGCAAAAGATCTTCAGCTCGGCGCCCCGTCCGGCGTTCGAGGGCGGCCCGCCGGGTCGCAAGATCGTCGTCGCGACCAACATTGCCGAAACCTCGCTCACGATCGACGGTATCGTGTACGTCATCGACCCGGGCTTCTCCAAGCAGAAGGTCTACAACCCGCGCATCCGCATTTCGTCGCTGCTCGTGTCACCGATCTCGCGCGCGTCGGCGCAGCAGCGGTCTGGCCGTGCTGGCCGCACGCGCCCCGGCAAGTGCTTCCGCCTCTACACGGAGCGCGCGTTCAAGAACGACCTCCAGGAGCAGACGTACCCCGAAATCCTCTGCTCGGAGATGAGCTCCGTCGTCCTCACGCTCAAGAAGCTCAACATTGACGACCTGGTCCACTTTGACTTTATGGACCCGCCGGCGCCCGAGACGCTCATGCGCGCGCTCGAGATGCTTAACTACCTCGGCGCGCTCGACGACGAGGGCGACCTCACGGAGCTCGGTGCGCAAATGGCCGTTCTCCCCGTCGAGCCGCAGCTCGGCAAGATGCTGCTCATGGCCGGCCACTACGGCGTCGTGAACGAAGTCGCGACGATCGCGGCCATGCTCACGTCGGGCGCCGAGCCGTTCGTGCGGCCAAAGGCCGAGGCCAAGGCCGCCAACGAGGCCAAGGCCCAGTTTGCGCACGTTGACGGCGACCACCTCACGCTCCTCAACGTCTTCCACGCGTTCAAGCTCAACCACGAGTCCAAGGAGTGGGTGTACGAGAACTACCTCAACTTCCGCGCGCTCCAGTCGGCCGGCAACGTCCGCGACCAGCTCCTCCGCAACCTCGGCCGCCTCGGCCTCCAGGGCCGGTCTATGGACGTCAACGACCCGCGCTACTATGAGAACATCCGCAAGTGCATCACGGCCGGCTTCTTCATGCAGATGGCCTTCAAGCAGAGCGCGGGCGGGTACCTCACAGTCAAGGACAACCAGGTCGTGCACATGCACCCGAGCTGCGTCCTCGACGACAAGCCCGAGTGGGTCCTCTACAACGAATTTGTGCTCACGTCCAAGAACTACATACGCCTCAACACGCGCGTCAAGGGCGAGTGGCTCGTCGAGCTCGCGCCGCATTATTATGACCTCGAGAACTTCCCCGAGTGCGAAGCCAAGCGCGAACTGGAAGCGCTTTACCGCCGACTCCAGGCCAAGCTCAAGAAGTAAACCTAGACAACGACACGAGCAGAGCTACTAACATAAATTGGATTGTATTTCGAAAACCTAGTCCTACTCTACCCTCTGTCAGCAGCTTGGACCAAGCACGAACTAGTCTTTAACGTTGGTGACCAAGAAGAGCATAAAGGGTCGGTATCGTTTCCGACGTTAGGTGTCTACTTCAAAGCAACGCGGGAGGAACGTGGCCGCTGCTACACGCCAACGGGGGTCGCGCTGGAGCCGCCGTCGGCCATCGCCGCCTGGTTGAAGGCGCGCATTTGGGCGTTGATGGCGTATATTTCGGCGCGGCGACGCTGCTTTT